ACAATATTTTAAAACATAAATGATATAATGTATCATTAACTTGGTGTTTGTTTATGTGTATGAATGTTATTCTCAGATATCATGGTTTTCACTCATATTTCATTAGGTCAGATTATTAAAGTTTAAATATATGTATCAAAGAATGCTAACATCACTAAAAGCAAGCTTGGATTTTCTTAGTTTAAAGATTATAGAAATCATACCTTTTTACACTCTAATATTGGTGCTGGTATATTTCCGAACAGATATAACACTGCAACATTACGAATACTGCAGGAGAACACGGTCTGTTGCAATTGAAAGCAGTGGTATTTCAAACTGTGAATAAGCAAATCGCTACTTTTTTCAAATAAATACAAGACAACAACAAAAACTAACAATGCAACTATAACCTTAATCGTTGTTTTTTAAGCTACAGAAAAAAACGGTTTGACGGACATTTTTTTAATCGTGTTTCCATTGATAATAGTATTGTCATAAAAAGCTTGGTATTACATATTTTATCAAATTTGTAATAAAATGTAGTGACAGTTTTGAACAATGTATGATATCTGCAATCCTACTACTAGCATAACATTTTTTTAGAAATCAGGATCCTACATGTATCAATTTATAAATTTGACTTGGATGGAGAGTTGTCTCATTGGCACTCATACCACGTCATCTTATATCTATGTAGCTTGTATTTTGTATCTATTTTTTTTTTAATTTTCATACTGGGGCTTTCAAAGATAATTGATATGTAGACGTTCCCAAAAAATATATGCTTTATTAAGACGATACACTTTCATATAAGATTTTTATAAATTCCTTACGTTCAAAACAATAAGACACATAGATTAGTTGCTTACATGTACATCAGTTTGTATCGGGTGGATAGTTGTATCATTGGCAATCTTACCACATCTTTTAATCTTGATATCAAGTAAAAGTGAGTTTAGACGGGTTTCTATGTTCTTCTTATATCCTCTTCTATTATACAGCTACATGTTTGTTCTTGAATTTAAACAGAATCATAATTTTATGCATTTTTACTAGTAAAAGAAAGGTGCGACCATCTTTTTTTTTCACTAATGACGTTTTGATGTTTAATGCATATCATTTTTATTCATTATAAAGCCTTCGCATCGTATATGATAAGTTATATCATTATGTTTTAAGGAAGTGCCACTCATTAAATCAGAATCAACGTTTGCAAATTTTTAAAAATTTATTTGTTCCAAAGGGTTAAGTACTCCTGAATGTTACCAAAATTCAAGGATACATTCGATTTGAGTTCGGCCTTCATATAACTGTCATAAAAGACATATTGAACCTAATTGATCCTTTCAAACAGTATAATGGGCTTACGTCATGTGAAATGCTTAAATTAATCTGTCTTAAGATCTGTTTGATAAAAATGCATTTAGAGAAGCATTTGCACAATTATAAATATGCATGATAATTGACTGCACAAGAGAGTTTTAATATTTCCCATTCATCACATGACAAAAATGCAAATTGAACATAAACATGTATCGACTAAAACCACGCTTGACTGACTTGATCAAAATAGCGACTGTTTTTGGAATAACTTAGTTTCTCTGATGAACTGTGTTTCAGATCGAAGAATCTACCATTGACAGCGATATTTTTCAAAATTTTATGGTAATAGTGTCGAGCAAGATACTTAACACGGTCTTGAAAGTGGAAAAAATATTTTTTCCATTGGTTTTATAACGTACAGCCAGGTGCTTGAAAAGTAACTTAAATCATAAATGGGTTAAATTGTATCCTGCATATAACGATCAGATTATTGTTATCTTTACTGAAAAAGGCACTGTTGTTGTCCTCATTGGGTTTTACTCATGAAGATTAAAAAACATTGGAGAAATAAACTATCCCTATCTTTGCTCATGAGTTACGATATAACTGCACTCTAAACAGTAGCTTTATATTGCAACATGCCTGCAAAAGCTCGCATGGTATTATTTAGTCTAACAAAAACATCCCCTTTTCCACGATAATGACATCACGCAAGGAGAAATTACACTGAAATTGTACTTTCCATGAGCAACACAACAGGTGCAACGAGTGGAGCAGAATATGTTTACCTTCTAGCGTATCTGATACCAAACCGGTTTTCGGTTGGGTTAATTCGCGTTGCTCAGTCTTGAGTCTTTTATGTAGTGTTTTGTAGACTATTGTTTGTCTTTTCGTCATCTTTTAGGGTGTTTTTTTTTGCAATGCCTTTGTCGGTGAATCTTTTAAATTATGAGTTTTGATTCTCCCTTTGATATTTTCCGACGTATTTGTTAACTAATCTATTCTCCTTAAAAAACAAAAATGCTAAGATTGTACAAAACTTTTCTCAAATCCCAATCTGAATAACAAGATCCATCTTTCCACGTCAGAAGATACATGTATGACAGGAAGAAGACTTCTCCCGCATGCAAAGCTCTGATTCCTTCCCCAGCTTTGGTTATACTTTTTGTCCTTTTAGTTTATAAGCTCTTCATCTTTTTAAAAAGTTTTGGATTTTCAAATGTTTTGGCTTCGAGTGTCACTGAACAGAAATTTACTGTCGAAATGCGAATCTGGTGCAGAAAAATTGGTACCGATAATGTTATTCTGTTGTTTCACAGTATTTGCATGAAGCCACTGATATTTTAGTGGTAACTAATAAAGCAAGTGTTTTTTCGATATTAGAAGACCACCTTGGTTAAACTGATTTACCTCAAAATAATTATAAAGTCAACAAAGATTTCGTTTTATCAAAATCAAATTATCAAAGTTTTATAGTGCCGCAATGTTATTTTTGACCCTTTAGGAATAATGTCTACTCAATGTTTCTTTTTGAATTGAACATAAAACGATAATAATGGGTTAACAGATTCTTAAAAAAAAAGTATTAATATAAATCATTAGAGGCGGATGGAATATTAATTGAGTTTAAATGCTATATGAAACTGTGTGCAAATAAAGTGGGGGAAGTTGCCAAAACAAATGTTGTATTCTTTGGTCCTAGAGCCATGAATAATAGCTAAAGATTTCTTGAATGCACACTTTAAATAAAAAACACATTTTTGTAACCGTGTAGTCTACTATAAAGACAAAATTTGTATTTTAATTTTAATTTTAACAAAATTAATGTTTTTTGCTGTGCATGTACTGATTTTGTGTCATGGATGGATACCCTATATCCTTTGTTTTTCTATTAAAATGAACGACAAAAGTGTAAATCGTAAATATCAAACTTAACCTCTATTTTGTCATCAGTAACAACTCATTGGAAAATGAATGGCAATTGTTGAAAGGTTCTCATGATATTGCACGGAAACTTCATATTATACTATTTCACAATCAATCAAGCCAAGAGTCCAGAACGAAAAAGTGAAAATCGTCAGTATCGATCTTGACCTCCACTAATAACTAGTTAACTTAAAAAGTATTAAAATTTTGAAAAGCATTGGTGGAATAGTTCTCAAGTTATTACATGAAAACAGCTTGAGTCGCCCGCCAGCCAGCCCACCGTGCTACCCACTAAAGTAATACCCAGATTTTCGAACGAAAAACCCGCACACAGCTTTATCCTTTCGTCTTGGGTGGATATGTGTCTCATTGGCAATCACACCACATCTTATTTTATATTCCACGTGATCAATTGATGTACTATTCATAGTTGTACGCCAATAGAATTATGAAAGATTTTCAATCAAACTAAATGATCCCTGCTAAATTAAATATTACCAATACTTTTTGAAAAACCTAATATGTTTTACATATATTATGCAAATTAAAAAATCATGGGCTATCCTTTTAATCACATAACTGGTTTGAGGTAACTTAGTTGTTTGTGAAACGTTAAAGATTAAAATTGGTAAACTTGGTTAAATATTACTCTCTAACTTCAAAATAATTTCTAATCAATTTTTAAATAATGATCTTTAAATGGCTCTTAGAAGAACTTTGTCGAATAAACGCAAGGACACACACATTAGGATTTTTAAAAAACCATACAACTCCAACCAAATACCGGTATCCAATTTTACTTTAAATGCAAAAAGGTTGGAACATCATCAAACAACAGGCCAAAGTTCTTCCAAACTTTTGTGGGAAAAGATCCTTTTATCCTATTCTTTCTGTATCCAAACGCCATCGGATGTTGCTGTCATCTTTCTGAAAACTGAAAGTTTGCCAATAAACACCAAAACAATGTAAAGATATAAAGGGTAAATTGCTACCGATCTCTGTTGATATGATGTATTTAAGATGCACTGTTAAAAAGGTAGTTAATAAATACATCTATGAAAATCTTTTCTCAAGAAGAACATCTAATACATGTAGTTATCAGGTAAGTAATACATGCTTCTAAAAGCCGGCAGTTATTTATTATACCTTCGACAAATTTTGTGCAATAGGGTTTGAAATTGATAACGTTTCTTCCAATGGTCTGACGATTTTGAATACAGACTTGCTCATTTCAACGAAACTTTATAATAAGACTTCTATAACCCTGTCAGCATTGTTTGTGTTTTTGGTTTGCTTTTTCTTGAGGTGCAGTATTCAACCCGTAGTTGTGGTTATTGAAGATAGCTTTCTGTAGTACCGATCACATATTGACCTTGCTTTCCACATTATGTGTCGTCCTTTGTTTTCTTTTCCAAGTTAATGTTTGTCTTATTTTTTGCTAAGATTGCAATTTTGTTTTGTTTGACTCATAAAACATGTGGTTTAGATTGTGTTCACGTAGAACTGACACCACCAAATTTTGTGTCAGAGGACCATGTCTATTTTGTTCTAGGAGTCGGTGTTGGTGATTATTTCAGTTTATTGTATTCTCAAATATTATTTGTAAACATCCCTCTTATACTTATCATATGTTTAAAGTTTGTAATTATCATATGTTTCTTTTTCGGTGAAGTTTATCGTTTAATTAAGAGTAGTGTTTTACTCTTGCTTTTCGGTTATTCGTTTCATCTACTGCTAAGAATAATTAGAGCAATATTTATATATTTCAGTATGGTTTTGGATGACAGTTGGACTAGCGTCATTGTTAGCACTTGTACTACTACTCATATTATTGATATTTATCATACGGTATTGCTGCTGGTAAGTATACAGTATAAACTAAGCATTGTTCATAGAAAATTTAAAAACAAGTCGAGGATTCCTTCAACAGTAAAAACAGGAATCATTTAAACTACTCAATCGTTAGAAAAGGTTTAGAATAATTGTCATATTTCCGACGATATTCATACTATACATTTTCCTCGTTTCTAAATTTCAAATCCAATTATTCGATAAAACGCAGCACATTTAGTATGCTTAATTTAGAGTTAATGTCAAAGCTGTTCATTAAACTGATTCAAAAGAGACAGTTGTCCCTTCATATTATAGCAAGTAATATAGACTAGCAGCTCGAGATTAAAAGTAGATAACTTTCCAGATTAAGAAAAGAGTAAGCTTAAGAAATATTTATAGTTGATTTTTGTTCGTAATGAGCAACTTGTGAGTGTTTATAGCTATGCTACATCATTTAAAACACAAATTTACAAAAGAAAATATAAAGATGTATATAGGATTTATATAGAATACCCCAAACTGCATGTTGATTAAGCCATTTAAACTATAGACCAGTGTCCAAACTATATGTCAAACCTGATAAGTTGTGAACGGCATAAACAGGCACAGTAAATATCTAATTTCTATGTAGACATGATGATAAAAAGCAACTTGAATCGAGTGAACAAACATGGCATGCACTTCATTAAAGTTTATATCAAAGATGAAATGAAATAAAACGCATGCCTAAAATAATTATACGACATTCAAACTCATAAGCAGTCAATAAGTTCTACTGAAACAGTTAATAAATTCTACTGAAATAGTTAATAAATTCTACTGAAACCATTAATATATTTCAACATAGTTTTGTTCCTATAATACTTTGGTCCGACTTCGACAAATTACTCTAGTTATTGTTTTGTGGTTATTGTAACCTGTCTTGATTTTTTATCTTTGTTACATAATATTAAAAATGAATAAACAAATGTTTTCAATTTATTATATAATGATGTCATTTTTTTATACAGAAAAGTAATTACAATCAAATACTTTTTACCTCCACGAAGTTTATCAACGAAGTTTACGTATTATTGATCTTTACAAAAAGGTGTGTTTACATGTAATATCATCTGTTTTCAAAACCAAAAAATTACCAGTCTATTTGCCTATTTTTAGATATCCATTTTTCAGTTGTCTCCCTTAGGAGGGTCATAATTTTCAGTGAAGAGCTAGCAGAAAGAACAAATTTACCTGTGCGTAAATGTGTGTAACCTTTAAGTTTATCAAATCTTTCAATTATATTTAATATTTTGTTAAGCTAAAAACTTTTAGTACCAGTGGTTGTTTCCCCTAAAAAAAAATGGTTAAAACTCCTATTACATCACCTACAACTAATCAAGCTTTGCATGGGCAGAAGCCCATTTTGTCCGGTAAGTGTGTTTTAACATAATCAACACGGTATTGGCAAATGGACTATTAGAATATCGATCAGTATGTTTTCTTAAGAAGTAAATGTTTTAGAATGACTGTTTAGTTATAATGATATTGAATGTATCTTATAGTCACAGAAGAAAAAGTCGTGTGTCAGAATTCTCAGAAAGCCAGGACCGATACGGAGATAGTTGTGGTCCATGTTGTGGCTTGGTCGATTATAAAGGATGTTGTTCCCTTAACGGTTGTTGTGGATTTTACGGATGCTGTGGTGGATTCTGTGGAGCTTGCCGATGTTGCAGAGAGTTTCCTGGCGACGGCGACGGCAACTCGGGCAGACATAACAGAAATTCAAATCATAATTCAATGAAACCTGTGAAGAAAAAAGTTTCTGTTAGACAAACACAAACATCACCAACACCAACAGATTCAACCACAATGGATGAAAAGAAAAAGATAGCTAAGGTCCTTAATGCTTGGATGCCACATTCCCACAATGTTCGGCACATAAACACCAGCACTAAATAATTAAGAAACAGACCTTTACTTTCACCTATAAAAACAATATCTTTTTATGTAAAGTTGATTAATTAATATATCAAAACAACCAAAAAGTACTGAATAATGATTTCTAATGAATCAATCAATCTAATGAGAGTGAATGTAAAATATAAAAAAGTAGATATATATCTTATTGAATATAGATTATTTTAAGTTTAAAGGGGCATTAGCTACGAGATATAAAAAACATTAAAATATGATTTTTTGTTTTGTTCAATCATTTAAAAAAGTGAAATAGTGAAATACTTATTCGCTTTTAGCAGCCAGTTTAGTTCAAATAAGCTAAGAAACATCATTGATGAATTATTCTCTTGCAAGTGAATAATTCGACCTCATTGAATCCGTATTCATATGACCTTCAATTTAAACTATTAGCTAGAGTTTATATCGGGTTATGTGACCGTCGGCAGTCTTCGGATGTCATCTCGATGATTAGTTAGATGGCGCCAAGACTAAAAGACACACGAAATGCTGATATATATTATCGAGTTCATGAGTTGTTAATTGTTTATTTGAGACTTATTGTAATTTGGATATACGTTTTAGTAAGTTATAAATCAAATATGAGAATTTGAGTCAAATCGGTGAACATGAATTTGACAGCTAATGTCCCTTTAAAGTACGTAGAGCATTATATAATGACGGAGTAGCGTTTTCATTCATTTGTTGTTGGGTTTTTTTTTTTTCTCTCTCTCTCTCTCTCTCTGTTTTGTCTTTCTGAGCACTGTTTGGTTATGGTGATTTTTCGATATATATATTACACTCTTATCTTCTTTCCTTAACTGAACTTCTACATGCATCGTTATTTTTGGTCTCTTTGTATATTTCAGCCATAACACACACTGCAACATAACATTTTTTCTTGCTAACTTTTCAGTCTCTTGTTAAACTTTATTTACAGATGGGTGACGTATATATCATTTCAAATCATGTTGATTCAACACAGACAGCTCCAATAAGTACAAAATCTACCCCAAGAGTACATAAATCGCCAACAACGACAACACAAACGCCTCGTGAGCAGAATGAAAGCATGTCATCGGAGAAAAATTACAAGAAGAAAGCAAAGGTTTTAACAGCATGGATGCCCCATTCGCATGACGTCAGAGAAATAAACACAAGCACAAAGTAAAGGCGCTTCATCTCCGTCGATGAAGTCAAAATAACAGGATGGGTGCTATACTGCTGAACATTGATATTTAATTAACAATTTTGGAATATGTTTCAAATGCGGGAAGTAAACGATGTAAAACAATATATATATAAATATAATATTTATAATAAGTCAACTTTTGATATCATTATACGACGAGAACCTAAACGGTTGAAATGTTCACTGTGATTTTATGAGAGCAGCCATTTAACTTTTAATTGGTTATATCTTTTTATGTCCCTATGCTTAAAGAAAATTGAATTGGCTTGAAGGTGGGAAAAATAAACATGACCGTTATTTTTCTCGCTTGTATTATTTTACATTTGTCATTTCGGGTTCTTTTATAACTTTCTATGCGGTACTCATTGTTAAAGGCCGTATGGTTACCTAAAGTTGCTAACCTTCTTCGTCATTTCGTCTCTGGTGGATGAGTTGTCTCATTGGTAATCATACCACATCTTCTTATTTTTATCATGATTTCGAAATAAACGTTTAGCCTAGTTTTTCAAAAAAAATATCAATATACTATTTTCCATTTTAAAAACTTTCAAATCGAGAGGGAAACAAAGACCAATTCAAAATTAAGTGTTTGGTTAATCAAGAAGCAGGTAATGGAATTCTTCTTCTGAAAATTTCTTCTGAGAATCCTTTGCATGCTTATACTTTCTGCATCTTTTAAAATTATAGCAACATGTTTTCAGTATTTATATTTGCTCTATAATACTCATAGAATCTTCTTGTTTTTTCTTTTCTAATTTTACAGTAGATTTTCTGTTTTATCATCTTTTTTATGTTTCTTTTGGTAGCTTATCAGTTTACAAAACTGTATAGAAAAATCTTATGTTATGTAATTTATTGGGGAAAATACAAATCCTGTTCAATTTCAGTCTTACTAATTATCGATTTTTTCGTGTTTGTATGAAATGAATTATAAAGTTCATACTCGAATAATCATGATGATGATGATTCTATATATGTATATTATGTTTTTATTGTAAGTTTTTTAAAGGGGCATTAGCTGTCAAATTCAGTTTTACCGATTTAACTCAAAATCTCATATCATATATGATTTATAACATATCAAAACGTATATTCAAATTATAAAAAGTCCTATAGGAACAATTTACAATGCATATGATAAACCATCGAGATTACCTCCGAAGACTGCTGATGGCTATATGACCTATATAAACATAAAAAAATATATATAAAGACGGACATGCAATTGCAATCGTATAATGACGATATTTCTGGATATGTTTGATTTCATATCTAAGACAAAAAAAACATATGTAAGTCATAGTTTTACCTATATGAGATTTTTTTTTTGTTGGCAGAGTCAGTAAACACAATCATGTTTTTCAATGTTGACACTTTTTCTTATGAATAACTTATCATGCTGAGTTCATGCGCAACCTGTCTTCAGCTCAGTTTCAAATTAAAGGTAGCATGAATACGGATGCAATATTACTTGAACATCCCTAGTTTATAAATGTTTGAGAATGAAAAAAAAAAGTTTTATTATTTTTTTTTTGTATAAATCGTAGAATCGTAGGAAATGCCGCTTAAATTGTCAGATGTGGCATAACACTTTATAGATATACTACCATTACATTTGGACATAATCGCTAATTTTATTGAAATTATAATAGCCGTTTTTTAACGCCCATTCCAGACTTAAATTTAAGTTGCCAATGTATGTACCTGTAGTGTGGGTTTTGTCAATTATAGCTTTGAAAAAGAAAAGTTACATCAAGTTCTCTTTGAAAACTCATATTTACAATAAAGGCAGAGATAACACCGGTAATCCATACATGTGACATCCATCAATCAAATGGACCATATAACTTTTGTCCGTTTAATATATTTTACACTAATTTATAAAGCGTATAAAAGTATGTGCTTTCATGAAAATGACTTACAATGATGTCATATGACCAACACTATTTCTTCGTGTGTATTCTTATAGTTGATGTCCATACTGTTGCATTTAATGAATTGACTACTTACACTAATATATATGCTTCAAACACTTCACTGTTATCATCTAAAAAGGAAAATGAAGAGATAAAAAAAGTACTTTGTAGACATGATGCCTTATAAATGATATTCAGGTGTATAAAATGACCAAACACTGGTAAAAGTATAGACGCTGGGGTGTAATATGTTGAGTTGATAATTTTATCATTTAAGCCTTCAGCAACCATATATAAGAATAAAATACCTATTCATTTGATGTGCTTGTAAATTCTTGGAATTTTCGTTAGATTTCTGTCCTATGCACGTCTACCCAAAGTCATTTCCTTTCAAATCTCGACTTTGCTTTAATGATGAGGGATGAAATAATACTAGCATAATGCTTTGTGTTTTACATTGTTATTGTTAGTTTCTTATATATATATATGTGTATATCGTCCTGAACATGCATGGAATATTTGCCACTGAACTTTAAGCAACCACCAATCAATCAAACTTATACTATACGCTACTTATATTTATTTATTTAATCAAACTTCATTTTATACATAGTTGTGGTTTAAATGTTATTTTAAGAGTCGATCTTTGATCATTGCCAGATATAACCTTATTTTCCTTAAATCAGTTTTCTAGCGAAAATCTTCATAAAATTTGTACGGAGAACTAGTTTACTCGTATTTAGTATTTACCATCTATTAGTGAATACTAAATGTGCAGTGGTTCCCGGTGAATTGTAACAAACATAACTTTAGTCGACGCCAGGGGCTTTTCTGACATTTGAATGTAGATTTTAAGTTAAAGATTACGTAATAATTTATAAAACTAAAATTACAGATCCGTAAGACAGTGTGGACCTTAAATTATTTTTACTGTTGTGTTTTGGCCCTTGTTGGTTTTTTATGTTGCTCTCAAATGTTTTATGTAGTTGGCTTCACATACTTTTGGTCTTCGGTACCTTATGGAGGTCAGTCCAGAAACACATTTTCACATAGAAATCGGTATATAGTGCCTTTATATTTACCTTCATTACGGTGTAAGCTCTGTGCAGACACCACAAACAAGCGAGACATTTTGTCAGGATAAATGGAAGAACTTTTATATAAGTGCTGGTATTTGTATTATTGATTCTACCCTAGTATTTCTTTTGTCGTTGTTCCATATGAATCTACGCCGTATTCGTTCGTCCATAAAATTTATTTATGACATGCGTATCAATGATTTTACTTGGCTCGCTCAAGAATTTGCCGGAAATATCTTATTTCCTCTCTATGTGCCTAAAATTTCTACCTTTTTTCCAAATCATCTCTTATAAAAGGTATAGCGTCATTTTATGTATTTGTATATATGTAAAAGATTATAAACACTATTTATTTATTATTTTTTTTTATCATTTAGAATGCTTGTTGTTCGTATTCCTTTTTACGATCAGTATTATTCAATGATGGCTGTATAATTTTATTTCGTATTTCCTATGTCTTTTCTTAAAAAAAAAACTTGCATAATTTTTTTCTAAATAAATACATGTACTACATGAAGTGTTTTCTACATGATTCCTCTATTTCTGTCATTATAAAAGTCTAGGAGCCATAGACTAATGGCGGAGTGGCCATTTGCGCTGTTGAAATAGTCTGATTCTATAAAGATAAGAAGATTTGGAATTATTGCCAATGAGAAAACGCTCCACCAGAGACCAAATGACGTAGAAGTTAGTAACTATAGTTCACCGTACGGCCTTCAACAATGAGCAAAACCCATACCACACAGCATACTAACGCCTGCAGATTAATCATACAAATAAACAAATGTGAGCTATTATGGTTTCGCAGCATATCTCTATGAATGAGCATGATGTATTTTTAAGTGAGAATATAGATAATATATATATATAAGTTTTACGTTTGTCAAATAGAGAGAGTTTTATCCACAACTAAGTACAAGAATATGAATGTTATGGAAAATTCTCATTCTTTATTATTATATTTAACTTTAATTAGTAGAAATGATAGAAACTTCTGGAAGAGTTGGTTATTTTCAAACAATTAAAGCACTCTTATCTAGTAGCCAGTTCAATAGAATTCCTGTCTAATAACAATTTGATTGTGTGATATGGAACGCCAAAACTGTCTTGTTATGCCCATTTTCATTATATGATTTCCTTTTCCCTTTATATGATGTGCACTTGTCATTATATGATGTGCAAATATCCTTATATGATGTGCAAATATTCTTATATGATGTGCAAACATCATTATATGATGTGCAAACATACTTATATGATGTGCAAATGTACTTATATGATGTGCAAACATTCTTATATGATGTGGAAATATCCTTATACGATGTGCAAATATACTTATATGATGTGGAAATATACTTATATGGTGTGCAAATATCCTTATATGATGTGCATTTTCCCTTGTATTATGTGCAAACATCTTTATATGATGTGGTTGTGTCATTATATTATGTGCTTATAATCTTATATGATGTGGTTCGGTTTACTTCATTATATGATGTCGAAACGTCATTATATGATGTGCTTTCATCGTCGTTATGGTCAGTGAACATGATTACGATTAGAATGATTACTGTCTACGTCATAACTGATTCCGATCTGCTTCTGCGGAGTAACTATACACCCGGCTCAAATCTGTAGCTATCGCTAGCGAAAGTGCAATTTATAGGATAAATAAGACAATGCAATTTAACAAAAATCAAAGTTTCAAACATTCGGAGGAAGATTAAGATCAATTAATACAGTAGCTAGAAATTGAATTGAAGAAATTTCCGGCTGCGGCGAAAATATGATAAAACAAATTGTGGGGCTCTTTATAGCTTGCTATTCGGTTTGAGCAAAGGCTCCGTGTTGAAAGTTGTACTTTAACCTATAATTGTTAACTTTTTACAAATTGTGACTTAGATGGATAGTTGGCACTTATACCACATCTTCTTATATCTATTCATTGCAAAAGAGACCGTCAGTTTTAAAAATATTTCATAACAATAGCTATAAACTATCTACTCATGCATAATATGGTTTGTTTTACAAAATGTTATTGAATTATATAAATGGAAAGATGTATAATGTAATATTGAATATGTACAGTGATATTAAATCTAGTATATCATATAATAATTGTTATTCGGAATAATTTGCTTGCTTGTGACAATGGTGTACGACAAGGAGAAAACTTATCACCTTTCCTATTTTCTTTACTTTTGAATGACTAAGAAAATTTAAACTTAAAACTATAGCAGAAGATCTGGAAAGAGAATTAGAAATATATCTTAAGTTTTTTATTATATTGTACGCAGATGACACGGTATTGTTGGCCGAAACAGCACAGGACCAGCAGACTCCATGATTATTGTAAGGCTTGGAAATTTAAAGTAAACGTTGACAAAACCGAAGCCTTAGTGTTTGGTTTTGGACTTCGCCAAAAAATCTCCGATTTTCTTACAATGACACTTACATTGAGACAGTGAAGCAGTATAACTATATGGGAATTGTTTTTACTATAACAGGGAATTTTAATATGACAAAAAAACATTTATCCGATAAGGCCTTAAAAGCCATGAACGAAGTCCTGAGAATAGGAAGGATGTATCAGCTTCCTGTAAAATGTCAGCTTGGTCTTTTTGACAAGACAATCAAGCCCATTCTGTTGTATGGGTGCGAAGTATGGGGTTTTAGTAATAATGATATATTAGAAAAGATACATTTAAAATTCTGTAAATTACTTTTAAATCTGAAATCCTCAACACCAAATTATATGGTTAACGGGGAACTAGGTAGCCATCCGGTCGACATAGATATAAAAATTCGAACAGTACTAATTTGGGCAAATTTGATATCCGGAAAACAAGCAAAGTTTTCGTTTATATTACATTAACTTTCTAGCCATATGAACGGTCATCATAACATGCAGATTACATGGATTCTGTTTGTCAAAAAAATATTTCAAAATTGTGGCTTTTCATATATATGCGAAACACAAATTTCATTAATAAAGATTGGTTAAAAACTGCTAATCCAAAATTCGTCAAAGGCTATTAACTACAAATTTTTTTTAAGAAAAACCGGGAATTTGAGGAATATTTTAATATTTGAACTTTAAAGATGCCGTTGTTCTCGATTTCGAACGACTACTAACAAATTGCCAATTGAAACAGGAAGGTGGCAAAATGTACGTTTTAAGAGAAAACCGTTTTTGCCATCAATGTAACAATCGACAAATTGGAGACGAATATCACTTTATATTTGAATGTACTTTTTTCGATCAAAAATGTAAAGAGTATTTATCATCCTATTTTGTACAACGACATAATACAGTTATATTCTCTGAACTTATGTCGAGTACTCGAAAACCAGTACTGAAGAAGCTTTGTTCATTTATAAAAAATATAAACACGTGTGTTTGTCCTCCTGGCTAGTGACTTTTGTTACCTCTCTCCCTTGTTTTGTTTATAATTATACTAATATGGATTATTGATTGATTAATTTGTTGATTGATTGTTGTTTAACGCCACTTTCAACACTATCATGCTATTTCGTGGCGGTGAGTTTATATTGGTGGAAGAAGCCGAAGTGCCCGGAGAGAACCACCTACCTTCGGTAGGAAAACTGACAATTCTAGTCAATTAAGATTGGAGACGAGCTTACCTGCCACGTGCGGGATTTGAACTCACAACCTAAGTGTTGACAGGCTAGTGATACAGTAGCTCGATTACATAGACCACTCGGCCACCGAGCCCCCCTCCCCCCATCCGAAATGGAATAAAGGAGATATGGAAAGAACTTCAACTCGGTGCATTACATTTGCGTGCAGCTTTTTATTATGTTTTCGTGCATATATTTCACAGCTTCAACTAGATGATTATGGATGGATGCTTGACGTCCAGAGGCAAATTGATATGCATATTCGTACGAGAACATGTTAATGTGATATGAATATTAAACCTGCTTTGTACTAGAGCGACATCCTGAGCCGGATTTTTAACATGCTAGGTCACAAGGAAGACATGTCACCTCACCCGGACACATTATTCTGATTCCGAGCCGACCAGCCTTTGCTCTTACTCCTTAATTTCGCGTGCTTAGCGGGGACGCAGCAAATATCAATTTTAAAGTCTTTGGTTTTGATCCGGCCGGGGTTCGAACCCACGACCTACCGCACTCGAGGTGAACATGCTACCACGAAAGCACCGCCACTAGACAGTAACCCGCAATATAAAAGGTTTCGTGGGAAGCCGCTCATATATACACCTCCAGACTCAAGTAAACAGGGCTTACGTACCAACCATCTTTTGTTTTTGGTGAGTGGGGGGCATCTTTTTTGTAAATTTTTTATTCCAAATTTCTTGAAAGAGATTTTATCTATTTCATAAGGGAAGCGAAATAGTTTGTTTCCATTTAAAATGAGGGAAAATAAAACAATAATGAAATTAAAAAAAAAATAATCATGTTATTTTTTATTAAAGTCGAAAAATTTGTTTGTCCTGAGCACAAGGAAATACACGTGCTCCTGCCCACACTAGATGAAGAGTCGGTGCCTAACCAATTTGATTAAGATACAAATGTACAGATCATCTGTCTAATCTTCGATTACAAGGATCTGACAACACTTCATTTTACCTTCAGTTCTGGTAAATATTACATCAACCAATGAAATTTCAGCCTTCATATTTTTGAAGGCGTGGATCAATCCGACAAAACCAGAGAATCCCAATGGTCTTTAAAACAGGAAATAGAATGGAGCGTTTTCAGATCTGCGTAAGCAAGCTTGAACACACAATATCTGTAATTTAATCAGATTGGTGTCTAAATGAGCATAAAAAAACTGCATTTATTTATTGTTTACTGAGACTTGTTGATCTCTTACAGATAGAGAGTTGTGTTTTAAATTTTTCTAAGTGAAGATTTACGGCAGCGGCTTTTAATATTTTGCGTTTATCCTGGAAACTTCAATAGATTAAAAAAAAAACAAATAGTGCAATGTGTCTGAATTTACTCTATAGTAAAGGTCCCATTTGGGCAATTTTGGCTCTTAAGAATTTTATTGCTTTATTGCCTATTATCTTGATAACTTATCTATAGAGATACCTTTCCTTGCAAAATGGTATAGACAAGAACAGATTTAAAAATACATAAATTATAATTATGGTCATTTTCTTTCATTGGGGGTGGGGACGTGGGAGGAAACATTGGAATTTCTCTTATTTTTTTCAAGTCTACAGCTTGAAGTAGGAAAAACAATCAAGACCCCCCTTTTTAAAGACCTTAGCATTTCAACCCCCTCCCCCCAAAAAAAAGCCACCATCGAACAATCACACACAAACACACACACACATTTTCAATACTTTTGTTCGTAATAACAAAAAAAACAACGCATTAAGTTTCTATTGCATTATAAGTTTAAAATATTGCGTCAGTAGTGGATCTAGAACTTCAAGTGTGGAAGTTGTTTGCGACTTCAGGGAACTTAATTTGGATATGCCGGTTATGGCCTCAATGATATTTACCACACCTTCATTC